TTGTGTGCCCTTAGAAGCCATCACAGCCATGCCTACTAATGGCATTGGCCAGTGCAGCATGTAACCCAGCCTCTATATATAAGCTGGAGTCACGTAGCGCCGCACATCACATGAGCTCTTATTAGTGTAGGGAGAGGATGCTGCCGCTTTCAGGGACAGATTAGGAAAGAATTCTGCAAACTAGTACATTAGTGGGGTGCACTTTATATCTGAGAGTCAAATAGAAGCGTCAAATACTGTGGTTACATCGGAGTTTTAAAAAGTCAATTTTTTTGGGTGCTAAATAGTACATTTGGGGTGTGCACTTCATATCTGAGAGTCAAATAGAAGCGTCAAATACTGCTGTCACATTGCAGTTTTAAAATTTAAGATTTTTTGGGTGCTAAAAAGTACATTAGTGGGGTGCACTTCATATCTGAGAGTCAAATAGAAGCGTCAAAACTGCGGTTACAGCGCAATTGTAAACATTCTTATTTTCTGGGTGCTAATCTGCTAAATAGTACATTTGGGGCGTGCTCTTCATATCTGAGAGTCAAATAGAAGCGTCAAATACTGCGGTTACAGCGCAGTTGTAAAAATTCTAATTGTTTCGGTGCTAAACTGCTAAATAGTAAATTTGGGGCGTGCTCTTCATATCTGAGAGTCAAATAGAACCGTCATATAGTGCTGTGACATAGCAGTTTTAAACATTCAAATTTTTTGGCTGCTAAATAGTACATTTGCGGCCTGTGGTGCACTTCATATCTGAGAGTAAAATAGAACCGTCAAATATTGTGCTTACATTGCAGTTGTAAAAATTCTAATTCTTTAGGTGCTAAAAAGTCAATTTGGTGCCGGCACTTCATATCTGAGAGTCAAATAGAACCGTCAAATATTGTGCTTACATTGCAGTTGTAAAAATTCTAATTCTTTAGGTGCTAAAAAGTCAATTTGGTGCCTGCACTTCATATCTGAGAGTCAAATAGAACCATCAAATAGTGCTGTGACATAGCATTTTTAAACATTCAGATTTTTTGGCTGCAAAATAGTACATTTGCGGCCTGCAGTGCACTTCATATCTGTGAGTTAAATAGAACCATCAAATATTGTGCTTACATTGCAGTTGTAAAAATTCAAATTCTTTAGGTGCTAAATAGTACATTTGGGGCCTGCACTTCATATCTGATAGTCAAATAGAACCGTCAAATACTGTACTTACAGTGCAGTTTGACCAATTAAATTTTTTTGGGGTGCTCAATGGTACATTTGCACCTGCACTTCATATCTTACAGTCTAATAGAACTGTCAAATACTGTGGTTACAGCGCAGTCTGACCAATTCAAATTTTTTTAGGGGGCTAAATAGTACATTTGCGGTCTGCACTTCATATCTGACAGTCAAATAGAACCGTCAAATACCAATATAACAATATTGTAATTTGCGGGCAATACCCTCACAAGTCAAACTGAGAGGTCAGTTTATAGGGAAAACTGTTGCCTGGATACAATTCTAAAACAATTCCCATATGTCCTTTGTAGAGTTTACATGCTGGAAAAACACAGGTGCCAACTGCTGTGGCTTTCTGCAGTGTGCAGACCGGGAAGGAGGGCAGGGTTGAGGAGTGGGTGGAAGATGATGTGGAGGATGATGAGGTCCTAGACCCCACATGGAATCAAGGTCATGCGAGTGACATGTGCAGTTTGGAGGAAGAGGCGCTGGTCGCAAAAGCAAAGCGGCCGTCCCCTAGTGCTCGTCGGCATGTATTATCTTTAGAATTCCCACAGTTATCCAAGTAACAGATTGAGCGATAAAAGGAACCATAACAGATTTAACAAGCCATTCGTAGTTTCACAGTCCGGTGACTGGGACCCAGACACTGTCTGGGCGGCGGTCAAATGACCAGGACCCAGTATGCCTGATGTTGAAGTTAGGAGTCACAGTGTGGAATGTATTAGCAGGGTCTGGTGCAGGGTAACCACACGCCCCCTGGTGTTGAGCACAAGCATTTGTGCGGCCACATATCAGGACCCTGATGCAGCTTCAGTAAAAAGAGTACTGGATACCAGAAGCCATCACCAGACTGATCCGCAACTTGGAACAGGATGTGACATTCACTGTAGCGGCTGTGCGTGCTTTCAGCGTTCTCACCCTGCTGCTGCTCGCCTGTCTGCGCTGCAGTGTAACTTTGGCCTTCCCGCTCACCGCCTCATATGCAACATTACCCAAAAGGTGGAACTCCACCTTGCACATGCTAGAGAGACTGTGCAAGCAGCAGCAGACAATAGTTGAGTTTCAGCTGCAGCACGCATGGCTCAATCGCTCTGCACCAGACTTGCCCTCCAATTGATCATAGTTAAAGGATTTCTAGTGGACTCATTACAATTACAGGGCCTCTAAAGAGTCCTGTATTGTTATTTGTCGTCACTACCTCTCCGCGTCTGGAGTGGGTAATTTGCGCACCGGCTGCCTTCCTTGGATGTGGTAGCCGTTTCTCAGGCTGCCTCTCCGGAATCGAACCCTGATTCCCCGTTACCCATGGTCACCATGGTTGGTGCAGAAAGTGGCATCGAAAGTTGATAGAGCAGACATCCGAATGCAAAGTCACCGTCACGGGGACGTGCGATTGGCCTGAGGTTCTCTAGAGTCACCAAAGTGCCTGCGCAACTATAATGTCGACAGCTAATAGATAGGGAATGGAGGGGGGCCCTGTTCCAGTCCCTTCTCTTCCCCACTCTCTGGCAGACATCTGGCAGTACTGTCTCAGATTCTGAGAGATGCCTGGCCACAAGAAACTGTGGGTGAGCCAAAACGCTGTCGGCTCCTGCCTAAATGCCCTGCCAAGGGGATATCATGAGCTAGCTTCAGCAGCTCTTACTAATACTTCTTGGGTCTGGGGTTGGCGGTCTCTCACCAGCCGTGTCGTTGGAAAGCCGATTGAAAAAGTGCTCTAGCATGACGAGCTGGGTGATCTCCTTGGCTTGATGGGAGTTGAGCCAGTTCTAGGTGGCCCTTGTGATGCGGCATGCCCACTCCGCATGGGAGTCCTTCTCCCCTTTCCGGGTCTCCCTAAACCTTCGGCGGTATTGCTCGGGGGTGACCGCATACCAGGCCAGGAGGATTTGTGTAATAAAGGGATAGTCTCTGATCTGCTCTTCTGGTACACCCTGGTAAATATCCACTGCCTTCCCCACTAGTTTGCTGGCCAAGATGGTGATCCAGTCGCTGGGGTCCATGTCTTGGAGTAGGCACTGGTGCTCAAAGTCTTGTAAAAAGTAATCGATGCCATCTTCTGCTTCCTTGAACTCTTTGAAAGCATTGTATGGTAGCTTGTGGGCCAGGATGGTTGTGCTTCCCGGTGCCCTCTGCTCCCTTCTTCCTTCATCTGGGTTCATGGAGGTTGCCATCTGTCTATTGGCAAGGACATAGGCTTGCACCTCCAAAAAGGTCCTGCTGACAATGCCCTCTGAGGGTGGCTCTCGGTAATATTCCAGGCGCCGTTCCACCTTCTTGTGCACTTCCTCCTCATCTCCGGGCCCCTGGCTGGGGGTCGTTGCCTCACTGCGTGCCTGGTCGTCCTCCATGAGCGCAGCAGTCAATTTGGCTTTGTAACACCCACCAGGCGTTATTCCTCTGGCTCCACACAAGTCCTGCAGTGTTGGTCACTTTAGAACACCGCAGTCCATGGGTCTGTTGGCAGGGACATGGGATCCTGCCGCTTGTCACCAATTGAAGCGGGACCTGGGTAACCGATGGTTATCCCCTTTGATTAGAATAGGTCAGTACCATTTCCCCAGTAACCGGATAGGACACAGTTCCAGGATACAACGTTTGACAATCTTTATTTGGGTACACAGCTTTGCCTCCTGTTGTCTCCTCCTCCTACTCCGCTTCCTCCTCCTCTACCACCTCCTAATCCGGTCAGCGTAACACCTTCACCACAGCCAGGGGGAAATGACAGCAGGTTGTTTTAAAACTCATATGTTAGGGGGAAAAACCCCATACCGTGCAGGAGCTGTGGACGGGCATGGAACAACAGACCGATGAGTGGTTGTTGCAACTGAGCTTCAAGCCCTGCCTGGTGGTGTGCGATAATGGGTGAAATCTCGTAGCAGCTCTGGGCCTAGCCGGTTTAACTCACATCCCTTGCCTGGCGTATGTGCTGAATTTGGTGGTGCAGAAATTCCTGAAAAACTACCCATATATATCAGAGCTGCTGCAGAAAGTGCGTGCCGTCTGTGCGCGCTTTCGGCATTCTCACCCTGCTGCTGCTCGCCTATCTGTGCTGCAGCGTAACTTCAGCCTTCCCACTCACCACCTCATATGCGACATGCTGGAGAGACTGTGCATACAGCAGCAGGCGATAGTGGAGTTTCAGCTGCAGCACGCACGGGTCAGTCGCTCTGCGGAACAGCACCACTTCACCACCAGTGAGTGGGCCTCCATGCAAGACCTGTGTGCCATGTTGCGCTGTTTCGAGTACTCCACCAACATGGCCAGTGCCGATGACGCCATTATCAGCCTTACTATCCCGCTTCTATGTCTCCTTGGAAAAACGCTTCGGGTGATGATGGAAGAGGATATGGCACAGGAGGAAGAGGAGGAGGAAGAGGGGTCATTTCCATGGTTATCAGGCCAGTCATTCACAAGTGGCTCGGAGGGTGGGTTCCTGCACCAGCATTTGCCAGGTACACAATTCTCCAGCATCTCCACACTGTCCCATGGAAGCGTTCAGTAATAAATACTGGAGAGAAAGAGGAAGTACCCCCCTAGCCACCCGTGATCCCTGGCCCTGAATGCCAGCATTTCAAAATTTGTGGCCTTTGTAATGCTGTCATTCCGTCTGGTGGAGACGGACAGTTTTAAAAACCTGATGGCGTTATTGGACTGCAAGAAATGCACTGCAGGCCGCAAATGTTTCTTTTTTTATATGTCCCAATATTTTGGGGGCTACCCCAATTAAAAAAAAAAAACAGTGTTGGCTACCTCCGTCTCCTCCACCATCGCTTCCACCTACACTGCCACGGTCACCACCTCCTCAACCTATGGGTCACTTAGTATAAACTATGTACACAATAGCAGAGAATGTGTGAATGCCATTTCTCCATGCATCAAGAGTTCAGCATTTCTCCATGCATCAGGACTGCAAGAAATGCACCGAATGCCGCAAATGTTTCTTTTTTTATATGTCCCAATATTTTGGGTCTATTCCAATTAAAAATAAATAAATAAATAAACAAACAAATAAAAAACAGTGTTGGCTACCTCCTCCTCCTCCACCGCCGCTTACACCTACACTGCCACAGTCACCGCCTCCTCAACCTATGGGTCACTCAGTATAAACTATGTACACAATAGCAGAGGCTTGTGAAGGCCTTTTCTCCATGCATCAGGAGTTGAGCTCAGTTTGAACAGTGAAAGAGAATACCCTGCACTCCAACCCTCTCTCAAATGGATAATTCTGGTGATCCTCCTTTAGATTTTGATTTATGTTCTTCCAAAGCTAAAATCAAAGATTCCATCTAGTGCTATTTTATGCCTCAGTTGTATTTTTAATTTTTAGGTATTTAATGTTATTTTAAGTGATTTCCCTATCCACATTTGTTTGCAGGGCACTTGTCCTACTCTTACCCCCATTTTACTTCCTTCTGTAGTCCTCTAGCCCTTTCCAGGACTTTTTTTAGAGGCATTTTTGTGCTCAAAGGTGACTTCAATGGGGTTCGGGTTCAGGGTCAAGTTCCGGGTCAAGTTCAATCCCGAACCCGGACTTTTTTTCAAAGTTTGGCTGAACCCGTCTGACCGAACATCCAGGTGTCCGCTCAACTCTATTCTTGACTCATTGCCTCTGCAACTTACATAAAACAAAATCTTGGATATGTGGCATTTTAACAATCAAGAATAATAAGTGAATCTATAAGTTATTTTTTAGTTGCAGTAGTTGTGTAGAAATTATCATAAACAAAACTATGAAAAAAAGGTTTTTTTTGTTCTCTTTTTTAATTTTATTCATTTGCAATGTGCAATGTGTACATATAAGGTATCAACAGAAAGTCAAATCTCCATTAAAATATGATATATGAAATAGAAAACATTCAGAAAAGGCTCAGTCATGAAGGGCTTGATAAATAGGCTATTTGGTGTAATATATAATACCACAATGAAAAGCAATATACAAAAATGATAGAAAACAGCAAGTAAAATTAAGTTTTAATATCTATTTTAGAAAGTTGTGATGATCTATTGTCTTAGTTTTTAAGTTTACAATTTCAAAATTAAATTCTTCTCTGCATATTTTGGCAACAGATGCTGTATCTTAAATCACAATTGAATAACAGACTCCATAGTTCTATTATAATGCAACTACCTTCTAGTAAGTAGAATCAAACATTTTGGCTCACTATATGCTCTTCTGCCCACACAAAAGTGAGTGTGACATACCGAATCCTATTTCTTCTGGTATCCTTGGTAATAAATGCACTGATGTATCAGAGTTCGTTGTGCACATTGCAGGGAACAGCTGCTTTTAAAACTCTATGGTATAAGACATACTAATTTCAATAAAAGAGAATCATGAGATGAAGAAAAGCAGTGAATGTTCTGGTTTTTAGTAAAATATACGTTGCCTTCTATCTGCTTTACACTACAACCTCTATCATAATTGGCAGATACTAAGCCATGTATATCTTGATGACCACTCTATTATGTAATGTGATGAAAGTAGCCATCACAAAGGCTCCATGCTTTTTAATACATACACTTGTTTTTTTACATGGCAGTGCAGCAAAGGAGAAGGAAGTTGGGGAATACTTACCATGAAACTGTGAATAAACTCCTGTTGTTGGGGAAACTACCTTCTCCTCAAAATTTCTAATCGATTCTCTTAGGATGGAGAACTGCTTCTTCCAAAGAGTATTTTTCTGAGGCTCATTCACAATACTCACAAGAAGGGAGTCTTTGTTTTAAGTATGAATTTTGACCTTGACCCTGTCAGTTTTTAAATAATTAAATAAATACAGGTAACATTTATTTGACACATGGGATGCATACTTGTCATAAAAACATAAGGCAAAACAGTATATTTATATATACACTGATCAGCCACAACATTAAAACAGCCTTCCTAATATTGTGTAGGTCTCCCTTGTACTGCCAAAACAACTCTGATTCATCAAGGTATAGACTCCACAAGACCCCTGAAAATGTCTAGTGTTATCCAGCCCCAATACAATAGCAGCAGATCCTTTAAGTCCTCCAAGTTTGGAGGTGGGTCCTTCATGGATCGTATTTGTTGTTCCAGTACTTCCCACAGATACTCAATTGGATTGAAATCTGGGGAAATTGCAGGCCAAGGCAATACCTTGAACTCTTTGTCATGTTCCTCAAACCATTCCTGAACAATTTTTGCAGTGCGGCAGGGTGCATTATCCTGCTGAAAGAGGCCACTGCCATCAGGGAACACCATTACCATTAAGCGTGGTCTGAAGGTAAGTGTACATGTCAAAGTAACATCTACATGAATGCTAGGATCCATTCAGCATAACATTGCCTCTCTCTTAACCTGCCTTCTTCTTATAGTCCACCCTGCTGCCCTCTTTTCCCCAGGTAAATAACACACACTCTCGGTCATCCACCTAGTCTAATAGATAATATGATTCATCAGAGCAGACAACCTCCTTCCTTTGCTCAGTGCTCCAGTTCTGACTCTCATGTCCCCATTAACCCCTTCACGACTGATGACGGTTCAGGACCGTCATCAGTAAAATCCCCTTGATGACAGGTGACGATCCTGAACCATCATAACGGAAATCT